CCACAGTGTGCAATCACAGAGGCCGGAGGAGACAGCTGTCCGCCTTTAATTACAGCGATGCGCATCTTCCCTTTCACTCTTTTTCTGCATTCTCACAACTTTCTTCGTTGTCTCACTTTGGATCTAGATTTTTTTTTTATCCTGTGTTGGATTAGCACTCAAACTGTGAAGATGATTAACACTCTCAAAAGCGGTCTGCTAGATTGGCAGCTGCAGACAGCAGCATACAAACTGGAAACAGGAGAAAGCTTTGCAAACTTTCAAAAATCCTTCTATAATATTTTAAGACGTTATGAGGTAGAGATGTGCATGTTTTACACTTGTTAACAGAGGAATACCATTTATATATAACGTGGTTCATTTATTGTCCCTTTTTTCCCTATCGTGTTTTTTCTCAGATATCTTCATATTGGGTGAAGCAACCTGTGGTAAGTGGGCTATTAAGTCACAGAAGGTTCAGAACCCCCCGGGTTGGTGTCCAAGTAACAAGTGGTGGTTTTTCAGTCAGAGCGCTCTCCATCATCGCCTTTACCTCGACCCATCCTGCTACACACCAATTTCCCTTTGGATGCATATAAAGTTATCTCATCTTGAATGAGAATGAGGGTCATTTCCACTTTTGTTTTAACAAGTACAAATGTTCCTCTGGGATTATTTTACTCGTTTCTCGTATGGATGGTGAACCTCCTTCTGCAGTTTACGTTTATTACCGAGCTCTTTCTCGTCATGATTAACGCGGGGCATGCTGATTTTAAAGTTTCACAAGCCCCCCCTCACCCCCCCGCGCCACGGGGTCGGGAGTAAAGGAATGCGCTTTTGTGCGGCACACTGTTCCCTGTGAAAATGCAGCCAAAGGAACAGAGAGAGAATGAAAAATGAGGAAGAGGCCTGTGTTTTTACGGGAATCGTGCTTAATTGCATACAAAGCTGCCATTTAGAATCCATTGTCCTCCCTGAATGTTGGCAGGCTCGGCGCAGTGTGTTGACGACGTCCTTCCTTTCTCTCGGTCTTGATTTGTTTTCTCCCCTCCATTTCGAGGGTCATACACCATAGCCATCCTGAGCCCTTTATAACTTCCCCAGTAATCAGTGCGTTCTTTTTTTTTGCGCGGCAAAGCTTTAATCAGACATCTCACGGCCTCCGCCGGCCAGAAATGTGTTGTTCCGACAGAAACTGACAAAAGCATGCAATTACTCTCACAGGACCTGTCCCTCCTCTCCGCTACAGCTGCAGAGGAGAGGGCACTATTCCAAACACGTCCTCCTCCTCCTCCTCCTCGCTTTCCTTTCTTCTGTGTGTTAGGCCAAACCATAATGGCGGAAGATGTGAAGGATGTTTTTCTGTAATATACTCCATTGAGAAAACAATCAGTAGAATAGTTGTTCACTGCTCTCACCCTTTATGGAAAAATCCCCTTATGGTAAATAATGAGGATTTAGACTGTAATGTGTCATTAGTGAAAAGGTTAACATTGGTGTTTCATAAGCTAAATATAATATTAGAGATTGTGTATTTGACGTGTAATTAAGCGCCAGAGACAATAGAAGTAACTCAACAAAAAGGATCTGCCTTTATTCCTCATTAATCTGTCGAGAAAATGATGTGTTTGATGTTTCAGCACAGTGGTGCCAATGTCGAGTTACTGGCGCTCATTAATACTAAATCGGTGGCATTTTTCATTAGTGAATTCAAACTGAAGAATATTAGCCTGTGCCAGAGATTCACACAAGTTCACAGCAGGGTGGTGAATTGAGTAATAATTGTTACATTTGAATTATTTTGGACAAAAATGCGGCTGAAGAGTAGGCCCACCCCAGACGCGCCATACACGATGTTTCTACGGTCTCACGGTTTGCTAATATAGTCATTGGTGTCATCAATCATGTATATATACCTAAACACAGATAACAGACGAATCATCTACATCAACCAAACAACATGTTCTATTTTTGAGGAATTTCCGTGTTTGTTTTTTATTTTTTTAATTTAGAAAAAATGATACCAAGATGCCCTGCTTTCAATGCTCTATTGAAAACAATCCTTGCAGCATTCAAATGTGTGAGTAAAAGTAGCGTTCTGGTGTTATTTGAGCAGTTGTTTTTGTGCATCGGCTTTTTAAAGTCGTTACTAACGTGAATGATGTCATGGGATAACCTGGTTTAGTTTCCATGGTGTCCCGTACGAGTTTTTCGCTCCGTGTTTTGAACGTGCTGCTTGTGAACGCACCCCTCGCACGCGCTCTCAGCGGCGGACTCTGATTGGACGGACTTCTGCTACGAGGAAAATGGGAGACGACCTGGGTGAAGAGTGGTGGACACACGAGGGCAACTCAGGTTATATTTCTTCACTTAATTAAACGTCTTTATTTGTTCTTGTGTCTCTGAAACGCACGGTTGGTATGTTCACCCCGATAGGCGAACTCCTTAACGTTATCTTTGAAGCCGTTGCGACGCATTTCAGTTGCTAACTCCATGCTAACGTTAGCTTACCAGCAGTCTGCATGTGAAACTTGGGACTACGTTTCCATTTAAAGAGTAAGAGAACAGTAACCTCATTTAAAGTAAAGAGTGTATCAAACAAAGCACCGGCAGGTTTCTGTTTAGCTTACACGCGATTTGTCAGGACAGGGAAAGTTAGCGTTGGGGCTTGTTACGAGAAGAGTGTGTGTGTGTGGGTGTGTGCAAACACGTGTGCTGGTTCTCGGTTATTTTAGCGAGAGTCATCGCAGGCAATAATTCGGTGTTCCGTCATGCACTGTTGCCTTGAACCGTATACATGGCGCGTCTGTACCAATAACTCTTTATTCCGCGCTGCCCATCTTCATCTTGATGCGGCACGAGAGGCGGTTCACCTGCGAGGGTTTGTTCCGTAGCTCCGCGCACCGCGCACCCCACCAACAGAGGGCAGTCACGTGACGGGCCGGGGCCCGCGGGTGACGTCACAGAGTACACTGCGACGGAGTCACGGGTTACTTCCGACGGAAAACGTTTCCCAAATGGAACGTTTGCATGAGTTAGTAAAGCCAGTGGTGGGAATTTACCAACTTTAATTCCAGTGCTGTTGCATGCTAAAGTAAAATCTTGACGTACTTGACCTTTGCTTGATTGTTTTTTTTTAAACCACTTGACTTTATAATTCTTAAATTTCACCGGTAAATGTTGTGTTCCAGGCTGCACTACTAAATAGTATTTACTTACGTTTATTCAGAGGAGGAAGCAATTTTGGGTTAATAGAACATGAAACAGGTTATTTACCAGAGGGATCTATAGCCGCATTATTAACTAAGAGCTGTGTTGAGGCAATTGACGACATGCTCATGCTGGATTTCACCAAGTTGGATCATTTGCTTTTTTAGGAAGCATTTTTTTTATGTGTGTGTGTGAAGATGTATAAATGTTTTGCCTTTCGTTGTCAGCATAGACCCATACGCCTTACATCTCTGGAATGAGCCACGGTCGTATGCATTTCCCCCTCCTGAAAAACAACACATACTTCATATCTTTGGACTCTATGGAGATGTGTCTTCGTCCTGGCCCATTGACTTGACATCTCGTTAAGGCTTTCCATCTGTCTCACAGAGCTGCTTGACAGAAAGCGCTGTGAGGCCGACTGAATATTGACAAGACGTAGAAGGTTTTCAGCGCGTGGGACGGACTTTGAAGTCATAGGAATGGAGAGGAGATTCGTAGGAAGCGGGATGACTTTCGTGGTGGGGATTCTTGTGGCTAAATGCTCCGAGTGATGACACACGTCCCATGAGGCTTCTGTCACGCCCCGGTTCTGCCCTGGAGTCTCTTCAAATGCCTCACCTGGCTTCTCCCTCGCCAACGGGTGATGTCACTGTGGTTGATGTTTGTCATCGCATTGCTGCCCTGCCGGCCTCTCTCGCCAAAGTGAGCCCCACTGTGTCCCCCAAACTGCTCAGCTAATGTCTCAGCTAGAGGACGCAGCTCGCGCAAGTTTTATAAAAAGCCAAATGACTGGTCATTTATTTCTGTCACTCTATTTAATCATATATTGTGTGGTTTTTAATTGTTGTTCAATAGAAACCCACACAGCTTCTGATTATACCTGCGATATTCTGGAATTTGGGTTTCATGATAATTTATTTCTCAAAAATTAAATGAGTTATGTTGCTCATTAGTGTGCTGTGCACGCAGGCTTTTGCCAAATCCATCTTGACTTTTTTAATACTCTGGATCGGTCTGCTTCCCCTGCATGCCGTCGTGTGCCGGCGAAGGAGCAATCAAAGGCTTTTTTTTTTTTTGTGCAACAGCGAAGCTGTAAAATCTGTTTAAGTCTAGTAGTGGATCATCGTTTTTAAGTGACACTCCGACTAGATACTTTAAAACGTAGGCGAATCAACAGAACCATGAAGTTAACTGCATTATTGGTCTGTAATGACCAGTGTGCAGAGTGCTTTTACTGCTGTGGAAACGTGCGGCTAACAAAGCAGCATTGGCATGATAATGGCTGCACCTCATACACATCCTGAACCCATTTTTATAGCAGTAAATTATGAGATGATGTTTTGCAGCGTTGTGCAAAAGTTGAAAAGGTATCCAAATATGTGTTATCCATTCAAAACATTTAAGACTATGACCTTTTTAATTTTGTTTTGCCACAAATAGAAATGGGCTTTTTAATAGCTCAACCACCATAAATGTTAACAGACCCACCTCCACTAGGTGTTCCAACGGTAATTGTTTAAAACATGAGCAGAGTTTTCCAGTGCACATTTAAAGGAGGTTTTTGAACTCAAACACACGCACGCTTATGAGGAATTCGGCTGTGGTTGAAATAGCTGGTGACTCAATTGTTTAATCAAACATAGCAAACACATAAACATTTCCTAGCGCTGTTCAGAATGTGTTCTGTTTTTTAACATTAAAAGCTTATATTGAAGTTTTAGAAGAAAGTCTTAAATGTTCAAGGTAAACCGACTGGCAACCTATTTTGATGCCAACACGCTCGCTGAAGTATTTAAAAAGAGAATGACTATAATCAACACAAGCATTTTTAATAAACGGCATATAAACATCGCTGAAACAGAAGATGGAAAACACCCATCACGCATTTGCTCGTACAGTCAATAAATGGTTGTCACGTAGACACTAACGAGATCTAATAGGAGAGGCCCTTATGGGAAAAATGCAAAGCATTTATTTCATAAATGTTATAAAACACAGAAACCTTTGCGGGTTCCCATCATGAATTGTTTTCAATCGTCTGGTCCTGCAGTGTGGCCGAAGACACGGCGCAGCACGTCGAGCACATTCTCTCCTAATCGAAGAGGCCACTCACTGTAATGTTGGAGGAATGTGCCGCTGACGAGGCAGCGGGGGATATGGTGATGCTGCTCGTAATTGTGCCCACGCCTTTGACGTGGCAGCCATTGGCGAGCACCTGAGTCCTCTGCTCGTGTCGGAGGTAGTACGGCCCGACGGGCTGCGGGGCGCCGGGAGTCCCCCCGCTCAGAGCCGGGCCGTACGGGCTCCCCAGGTGGATGTGGATCTTCTTGTCCTCTGCGGCGATGACACCGGGACCCGCGTCGCCGCTGCCGGACCGCCCGCGTTGCCAGCTGTTGTGCCGCTCCGGCGTCTCGCAGCATTCCGGCGTCTCCGGAGAGCAGGTCCTGACGGTCACAACCTGAATGGGGGAGCCGCCGTGGTCGTGCGCGGTTGAGCCCGGCGAGTTTGGCCGTAGTGCCCGGGAGAAGGGCCCGCCGTCGAGTGGGGCGACGGCGGTGCGGTCGGGGCTCGTAGGCGGCGTCCTGCCGCCCACCGTGGACAAAGCGGCGTTTTGGATGATGGTGATTCTCTGTTTCGGCGAGGCCCCGCTCGTCGGAATGACGGCGGTGCTGGTGTAGGACGCCGCCGCGTCGCCGTTGGGGCTGCTGATCTCCAGGGTGGCTGTGTTGAGGACGTGATGCGGCGTCACTTTGATCTGCAAGGGCTGCCCCGGCGTGTGCGCGAGCATCATCACCTCTCCGTTGGCCGCCGGGTTCGGATCGGCCCGGCCGCTGTACGGGCTGATGTTGCTGCCGCTGTTCAGGCTGTTGACCAGGGATCTCCTTCTGACGCTGCTCGCTTCCTCGTCCTCCCCGCGCTCGGTCTGAACCTCCCGGGAGGTCCGGCGGGGGCGCTCTGTGTCTGCGCCGGGCGCAAGCCTCTTGGTCTGCCCGTGGCGGTGCAGCTCGCCGCACAGCTCCTCCATCTCCCGGGCCAGCTCTCGGTTGCTGGCCTCCTGCTGGCTGAGCTTCCTCTGCAGCGCCGAGTGGTCCGTCCGCACCCTGCAGATGGACTCCTCGGTTCCCGTCAGCTTCTGGAGCTTCTGCTTCAGGGCGTCGACCTCTCGGCCCAGCAGCCTGGACTTGACCTGCTCCTTCTGAAGGCGGCAGAGGAGCAGGTGCTCCTGGTTGACCTCCTGTTTCTCCGCCTGCTCGTACCTGGCTAGCTCCCTTTTCGCCGACTCTAGCTCCCCCGTCAGAGCCCAGCAGCTCTCTTGCTCCTTCTCGAAGCGCTTCTGCAGTGCCTCAAAGTCGGTTTCCACCTTTGTTAGCTCTTCCTCCAGCACCTCCTTCTCCCGTAGTCTCTTCTGCAACCTCTCCAGCTCCAGGGTCAGCTCTTTGACCTTGTTGTCCTCAGTGTGGCTGCGGTGTTCGACGTTGTTTGGGATGGAGCCGTGGGTGTACTTCTCTTTCTCCCTCCTGTTTTCCAGGATCTGCAGCCTTTTCTTCATCAAGGCGACTTTGCTCTGCAGCTCTCCGTTCTTCTCCCCTTCGGCTTTCAGTCTGTCCTGGAGCTCGTACTTTTCCTTCGTGATGACCGTAATCCTCTCCTCCAGATCGGCCCTAGACCTCAGCGCCTGCTGCCTCTCCGCCGTCGACGCCGTGTTGCTGTGCTCGTTTGTCCGGCCCTCCTTCTTGTTGAGTCTCTCCTCGGCCTGTCGGAGCCTCTCGGCCATGGCCTTCCTGTCCTCCACCAGCGCCGCGGTCAGTGACCTCAGCTGGGCCAGGTCCTGTCTGATCGCCGCCTCGCTCCTCTCCAGTTGGCCTTCGGCGGCCTCGAGCTCTCTCACCCTGGCTCTCAGGGCGTCAAGCTCGTTCGCCAGCCCCTTGGCGACCTCTCTCTCTCGCTCCAAGTTGCCCTTCAGGATGCTGCAGTCCTGCCTGCTCTGCCCCAGATTCTCCTCCACCCGGTCGAGCTCGCTGATCCGGCTGTTGAGTTTGTCCACCTCCACTTTCAAGCTCCGGCAGTGGCTGCTCTCCCTGGACAGGCTGCGGTCCAGGTCCCGACACTGGTCCCACACGCGTATCAGCTCCTCGTCCTTTCCCTCCATCTCCACAACCCGCCGCCTCAGTAGCTCCACCTCTGACAGCAGGCCCGGCGCCGTCATGGCGTCCTGGCTCTGGCGGGGGACTAGATTGCGATGTGGGTATTCGAGCGCCTCCTTCCCCTTTGGGCCAGGGAGAGCGGCGCCGACCCCCGGCTCGATGTGGTCAGTGGCGACGGTCAGTTCTTGGACGCAGCGCCGCGGCTCCTCGCCCAGAAGCAGCTGCTCCACCACGACCAGTTTCAGCTTGGTGAGCTCATCCTTCAGTCAATAATTTTCCACTTTTCTTTGTCTTAATCTGCTGGTATTCTCGCTCCTTCACAATGAGGAACTTGAGTCTGCAGAGAGAAACAAACAATGCTGATGTCAAACTTATTTGAAATGGTTTTACGTTGTGTAATATTGTTTTCTCAACCTCCAAGTACACTGTGTATTGTTTATACTTAATCTCTGTGAAACACAAATATTTTCTCTAAATTGTGTATTCGCAACATAAATATTTATTTCTACTTTTCAATGGAATCCAAATCTTTTTTTAATTTTTTTTTTTTACACCTATTCTTGCCTCCGTCCTTGTGAGGGTGAGCCCAAAACATGGAGTACATGTAACTCCATGTCGTTGTGCGCTTCTCTCCAGGCAGCACGCAATCTCTAGGATGTTTAGACAATTCCGGCAGATGGTCCCTTGGCAGGAAGTGTTTGTTAATTAAGAAGTTTCTCTACCCTTGAGTACCCTCAGCGCTGCACCCAATCGCCCCCCTTCTGTGCCCCTTTCAGCACTGCCCCGCTTTCAGCGAGCAGAGGCAGGAATCTCCCCCCGTTCCATAAGTAATTACAGCCCGGCTACATTTACAAGTGCTGTCACTCCCCTGCATTTCCCCAGACGCATGCCAGCAATGTACAAATGCATTTTAATACACACTGCACATTCTCTTTGTCGAGTGCTACTGCGAGCGAGGCGCTCTTCAAAGAGATCTCCCACCCGGTCCATTTTAACCCGTTGGAATCAAAATCAATCCCGTGCGAGTGCCGGGACTGGTGGTGCAGGTGTCGAGTCCCGGAGGACCTTACCGGTACATCTCTAAACACCTGTCTGTGCAGAAACTGCCCCGGTTCAACATTTGAAGAGAAGCATGTGAAGAGGGTTTTGATAGGATATTTTGGGAAACTAATGTGATTTGAAATGTGAGTTTGCAATTGTGTTCAAGCATTTTGACATTTTCAGCATCTGTACTCTTATGTTTGATGATTCATATCATCTCTATACAGCAACAATGTGCATGCGTGGGATTAAAGGGTAAGATTTATATTTAATGTTCCGCATGGAATTGATCATTGGTCGAAAAGTTGATGTTTCATTGCTCTAATACATAAAGTATTAGGTTAAAGTACCTTACCCCAAGATTAGTTTTTAATGGTCTTACTGAGATATGAGGATTGTCCTTATTTAAATCGCAGAAACTTCATTTGTTGTTTTAAATATACGGCTTAGACACTTTTTAGACAGTTTGTAATGCTTTGTAAATTCTCCTCAACCTCACAGTGAAAGATGTTCTATTGAGACTCCGGGACTATGGAGAACGTATTTAGCCTGTGACTTGTCTTGCAGTTACTTTGTTTGTCGGTCAAGACCTTGTTAAATACACATTCTAACTTTTCCGCTGGTTACTGGTCTGTTCCTACCTGTGCTGTGCCGTTGGCCTCTGTCCTGTTTAAAAACAATCCTCAGAGAATAAATCGCCGCTACTCTTTCACCTCTCCCTTTCCCGGAGATCCCAGTGATGTGGACATTCCATCCGGAAAACCAAACATTATGAGAAGTGCGCTGCACACTGAGTCTCACTCAGTCCTTGGCGCCCATTACATCATCAGCAAGTCCTTATATGGGACTGTGCAGCTCTACTGGTGTGCGTTCGTGTGTGTGTGTGTGTGTGTGTTTTTTATTTTTTACTGGAGTTCAGCCCATTCTAGATGAAGTCATTGCGTAGCAATGCCAAAGAGGCTAATGGGAAGGACAGAGTGTGTGTGTGTGTGTGTGTGTGTGTGTGTGTGTGTGTGGTGTGTGTGTGTGTGTGTGTGGGGAAACCTGAAGCTTCAATCACATTCAAACTAGGACGGCTAACTCTGTGTGCAGGATTAGCCTGAGCAAACGTGTTAACTGTCCCGCTTTAGTGCTGCGAGGCCAAACTCGACTGAAGCTCATGCGTGTGTGCGCTTTTAAGAAGAGACATGTTTTGTGTGTTTGGCTTTGCCTCGGGCCTGATAACCTGACTGTGAGATGACATCATCAGTTCATAGGCCTATAATTCCATCCATATGTTTCCCTTTCGCTGTGCTTCATTGGCATTTATCTATTGAGGACAGTCTTGCCAAAGCGTCAAAGATTGATACTTGAGATTATAAAGAATTAATTAGATGTCTCCTTTTTTTCAAATTCAAAAGGGCTTTATTGGCGTAAACTTTGCCAAAGCATCACAATACAAATGTGTATACAATAATCATCTGTTGACTCTCTTCAGTCAGGAGGGATGAACTATTATATCGTCCTCATTCCCCCTGCTGGTCCCGACATGAATACCAAAAGTTGTGATGGTGAAATGAATGCCATTTCCTCTCACTGGACGACACGACCACCAGCGCTGCAGCAGAATAACAAACATAGATACGAATGTGTGCGTGTCCCCCTCCTGGTGCGGAGAGCTCCCAGTTAGTGTTCACCGGAAATATTCCTACAGAAAGACAGTTACTCCGTATCATGATGTCGTCACACAAAAATGTACAGGACTTCTTAAAAGGCGGACTCAAACTTTTCTTTAGTTCATTTTATCAAGCGTTAGATAGCTCGCGTGTTCGGAGAAAACAACGGGAGGTTGCGCAACACTGACCAGCGTTTGTGTTTCAGAAAAGTCAGATTGTAGTTTATCAATAAGAGGCTTTTGCGGCTTTTGAAGGATTTTTTTTTTTGTCAGCTCCACATCCAACACTTGACCCATGATGTCATCCCTCACTGCATTTACACTCACGCCAAAGCCCTTTGTTGTTTCAGTCAACAGCAAAGTAGAGCGTAGGTGTGCAGCATGAACCCTACGCCATGTGCGTTGTAGTCTACCATGAATTGTTACCATCACAGGCTGTTCTGTGAGTTAATGATGTCGGACCTATATTCTACTCCTCGTTCGCATTCTCCTTAACCTCTTAATGGATTGATTGCAACCGCGGCCGCCTGTTTCAAAGTCCGAGATCTCTGGTGACGTGCATAGCAAGTCCCCGTGACTTGTTTTTTGTTTGTAACGGCGATAACGTGATGATGAATGGTTCTGGTTGTTGTGTACAGCGAGGCTATCGTCGGGGATGGGCATTACGTGTCGTTGAATCATTTAGGAGATTGATTATTAGCGCTGGGTAGCTGCCGATCAGACAACAGCGTGTTTTTAATAAATCGTCCGACTCGATTGATCCGCTTTGACACCGAAGCCAATGCTGTAATCTCTGGTTGTGGAATGTGAGTGAGAAATCCGCCTCATTTGTGAGCGTTCATGTCCGCACGGACCAGCTCCCAAACTGAGAGTTCACGATGTCTTGTTTTTGCCGAGAGGAGGGGTTTGGAATCCCCAGCGCTTCTCTTCAATTACAAGAACAATCTGATCCCTCAAAGGCATTTTCAAGAAAAACCCTCAAACATTTCTCTTTTTATTTGAGAGTAGCACCCTGATCTGTTGTCATGGCCTTCTATTTGGATACAGCAGTGTAGTTTGGGGAATGTCGAGTTTTGTACAATCCTCCAGATGTACTTATTATAATGTGCAGAAGGTCACACAAGTCATGTTTAAGATGCAAAATGAAAAGCACTGGCCCTGGACCACCATCTCTTCATTTACCGGGACACGGTTTAGTAAAAACCAAAGCGATGACTAAAACAACCTCATATCCTTCTTGTAGCTAATAAAGAGGCCCAGCAGCTTGTGATCAGCACAGCGGTTCTGCTCCGAGGAGCCGCTCTGCCAGACTCTTATGCTAGATTATGCACCTCTTCTTCTGACACATTATTGGCCGGGCCGGCAGATGGCGGGTTCGCGTCGAGTGTGCGGCACGGAGGGACGGATTCAGAACAGCTGTCTGTTTCCGCTGCGACGCGGCCAAGTTTACTTACTCTCCTTTTCCAAAATGTTTCCTACACCATGTTTAATGCTGAAGCTCCCCAGAGAGCTTTTCTCCTTTTATCGGTAGCACGTTAACGGAGCAGCTGAAGGGGCAGTGACGCCGGTCTGTCCGCATGTCAATCTGTCGGTCCTCCAGCGCCGCCAGCAGGTTGACGCTTCAGTGAAACGTAACAGCCGTTATTGTATCAATAGCCGTGACATTGCAAAGGCTTGTTGTTCATTCATGGTCCACCGAGGTTGAACTTGAATGATGTTGACGTTCCTTTCGCCGCACGATGAGTTGAGCGATATCTGTAACTGTTGGATGGATTGCCATGAAATTTTCCCCAGACATTCATCGTCTCTTTAGGATGAATTGCAATAACTTTGCTGATCCCCCCCCCGCCTTGCTTTTCATTACCGGGGAGACATTTGTCAAACACATGTTTATGACTAAATACTTTTCATCAGTCCCGCCTGTACTTGGTGTTTTTCAGTAAATGATCAAGTTTTAGCTCGCCAATACACACTAGATGGATTGGCATGTTAGCATTGTCACTGTGACCCGTAGCATTCAGCCCAAAGAACTACTGCACCCAAACAGGTGAAAAACAAGAACTAGTTTTAAAAGTGTCTTACGGGCAGAGCCTGTAAAAACTGTGATTCAGAGCTGGAGTGAACAGGAGATGAGAGCACGTATGTCTTTGTGTGTTGAACACATGTGCGCGGTTAGCGCTGTGATGCTGTCACTCCGTTGACAGACCATCGGAAACACACGTACACACTTTGAGCTTGTTCTGATCTCTTGAGGTTGGAAGGACCACATCGCTGCATTCTGATGTCTACCATGTAATCACCCTCTGACATGCAACGGGGATCATGCTATGGCATAAAGTGATTATATGCCGTAACTGGAATCTCGCCGTGTAGTTCATTGCTAAAACAGGTCATCTGCTGTGCACATGGCATCTTGTGGGACTCCTTTTTAGTAGGAAAATGAAACGGAAAAGAGGGGCGCCAATTTTGTTTTGAAGCCAGGCTGAGTGGCTCTCTTAGCTCAGAGCACACTCTTTGAAAAGTAACAGGGAGGGAGATTGAAAGATAGTTCAAGTGGATTTGGAGTAGGAGTGGAAATCCTTTCAGTTAAATATTTAGGCTACTGCAGAGCTAAATTGTGAGAAAGACCAGATGAAGAGGGAGATGAAAGGCGCCGGCTGTATCGCCATGTGCCTCGTCTTGTTTACCCTGTGGATAAATGCAAGCATTGATTCAGCTCAAATATTTTTGTGCCAAGCTCAAAAGAAGCTGAAATTCAGTTGGGAACACGGAGAAAGGGAATGTAAACGTGCCGTAGAACCCAAATGGGCATCAACAGGCGAAAGAGCTGTAGGTTGATTGTGAATATGCAGTGAGGGGTAGCTAAAGTTTTATCAGGCATGCAACAATTACTTTTATTATTAATTAATCTGCAGACGATTCTCCCAATTATAATCAAGTAGTTACATTGTCTGTAAAATGTCCAACTGTTTTTGGTCTGTTTTATACGCAACAAATTCAAGTGTGCCTCTTTGTACAATTTAGTGTCAAAGCAGACGAGAACGCTCATCTGCAGGGCTCATACTGCACCACAGACATGCTGTCCACTCATGTATTAATCATCATTAGGGCGAGATCAACCACACAGCCTTCATGTGTGCATGCTTAGGGTTTCCACATTGTATTTGAATAGACAGAGCTGTAGTAAACTTAATCACTCCACTAGCCTGGCTATTTTTTGCTCTTCAATTGTGTGTACGTGCCTGTGGTGGATGAGTAAACCTTTTTTTTTTCTTTCACTTTGGCACACTGAAAGCAGACAACTAGTCTCCTCCCGAGGCTGCAGGCCCAGTGCGCGTCCAGTCTCCACATGGCTGCAGCGTTTCCCCTCGGTAGTAGTCGCCGAGCGGCTCGGCCAGCGCTGAGCCAGATTACAGAGCGCACTCCGATGGTACGTTGACCGAGACAAGCCCCGGGACCTCGACACGACGGGCCGCGTTGTGGGCCGCAAATTGCACAGGGAGAACCGGTGGCCTCCTTCATGTCGGACCACGCTGCGCCCGGAGCCACATCTGACTGGGCCTCTCTATTTCTGAAGGGAATGTTTTCACCCACAAGCGAGCTGTCGGCCCTTCTACTTTGGGTTTCAGATGCAAGGCCTGTATTGTGTGGTATTGTAGAATTGGGCAGGAGGCTGCCAATTTAGACTCAATATGTAATTGCATACGAGTGTATGTTTATGCGTTTACAAGGGAGAGTGAACCGAGCCAGGCTGACCGCAAGGCCCAACAGACTCCAGAATCTAAAGGGGACTAGTTCAGTCTTGACGCACACACACACAGCCAAGAGAGCCTTTGCTCTCCCACTCAGCCGTGAAGACCATTATAGACTACGAGAATTTAAGCCGGCACAAGTGTACAGAGTTCAGATGTGCCTTGTTCCAGTGCCCCGAAGTACTTTAATCCCTGAGCCTCGAGTCTAATCCTCCATGGGTGTTTCTAAGAATCGGGCGACCGGTTCAGTGGGAATATTAACGTTGGCTTTAGCGCCCATCTGAACCTCCAGGGTCCCGTGCACCGACCAGTATGTCTCATCTCCAGTGAAGTGGTGAGGCTAGCGCCCTTTTGGATTAAGGCCTCGTGGCGTCTTCTCCCCAAA